TAGTCACTTTACTATTAGGAATCACAACATCCTGACATAAGATCAATAGACTCTTACATTACTAGGAATCATCATATCTTGACATATGATCAGTAGCTTCTTTACTATTAGAAACCATTATGTCTTGACATATGATCAATAATTTGTTCACTATTAAGAACCACAATCTCATAACTGTGTAGCCAGTGGTCTAACACCTCTTAGAAACCACCAGCTTTCTATCTTTGTGATCAGTGATCTTGTATTCACTAGGAGCCATCAATATAAGAATATATTTAGAATTTAAAAAATTCAAAAATATATTTACCCATCCTAACGGGTTGTCTTATCTTTGTTTTTAAGTAAATTCACATAGTAATCATACATGCTATAATTTACACAAGGATAACATACTAATTGCCTCTAATTAATTCAGAGATATTATCATGTAATCTTATGATTTCCTTTAATCACAAATCTCTCTAGATCTTCCTTTAAGAACCTCGCAAAGCTTAAAGTTGTCAAATGGAACAACATTTTCTGTTGTCACCTCTTGAATCCATTTTTGAAAAATCATAACATAATTTCACTATTCTGTTTTTCCAGAAACTAAACTTAACACTAGAAAATCCCAAAGTCCGAAATTTAATTCAAAACTAATCTCAGCACTTACCTTAGAATCGAACATGGCCAGGAAAGTTTCCAGGAATACTAGAGGGGTCACATTGGTCCCACTTAAGACCCAGTTAGCCTTAAACAAAACTTTCAAGAGTATGTTGATTCCTAATCCATGAGAAAAAAAATTTAAAATTAAGTTTTTAAGGAGATAAACTAGATTAAAACAAACCAAGTTTACAAAACTTATAAGCAATTCAAAATTGCTATCAGAATTATAAAATAATCAAATTATAAACAAAGATTTTCTCAAAACCTGGTTTCCTACCACTTTGGGAATAAAAAGATGAAACCCAAAGATTTCTTCTAACCACAAAGATTTAAGACCAAATCAATCTTAGTTGCCATTTCTAAACATATTAGAAATACTCTTTAGTCAAAGCTAAACTTTGGTTTCTATTACAAAAAAAATCAAAATACTTTGGGAATAATAAAATTAATCCCAAAAGTTTATAATTTCTTTCATTCTCCATTTCCTTTCATTATGGTGAAACTATTACAAATTAGAAATTAAAACCACTACAAATGGAAATAGAAATGCAACTACAATTGTTACAATTACAAATTATCTAACTTTGCAAAATGAAGTTCATGGTTGCATCTGAAATCGTCTATTTAGTCAAGAATACACTTCTTCACTTGTAATGCTTATCTTTGTATAAAGCACATTACAAAACTCTATCCTCGTTGCCGTTAAATCTCCATGCTCACTGTTCATATATACACTTGGATACAAGATGAGTTAATGAACCAATAAAGTGAATATTACACAAGTAATTTCGACTATAACTTGCAATGTGTAATTCAAAGGCTATAGATGCATTGCAGTTATAAGAATGTCATGAGTTGCATGGCTATAAATCAATTATACATAAAGAAATATTATGGTCATAATGTTAGCAGCAAATATACATAACAATAGAGTTAAACTCCCACTTATCATTCCATGAATACAAAAAAATATTTTGGAGTAATTTCCTTGATTACACATCAAGACATGAAAGAACTCACAATTGGTACAACCAAAAATAAATAGAATAAATAAGAGTTTTAATATCACTATAATATCAAGCTATACCACCATGCAATAATGCAACACATTCATAATCAAACTTAGAAGTAAGACCAGTATATAGAAAAACTGAAATTATTTTACTAAATTTTCTCCCAAAACAAACCTGTTTAGAGATATTCTATACCGTCGAAAACCTCTAGACTAGCTGAATCTCTTCGCATTCTCAAAATTCAACTCTTTGTTTATTTGTTTGTTTGTTTTTTTTTTACAATTTAATTAATCAAATTAAATTAAAATTGTGACCAAACTTTTAAAACAACATATGGAATAAATCCGAAATTAAACTGAATTTTAAAGTGAATAATTAAATTCACTAAAATTCTGAAGGTCCAATATTATTCTTTATTCCACTCAAAGGTAATCATGTTCAAATAAACAATTAGTAGTCCAATTTACTAATTTCAATTTATTTTATTTGTTTGTATTATACATCATCCTTTCTCGCTCAGGTAAACCTGTAAAGAAAGTTAGTTACAAAAGAAAACAATCAAACAAAATAAATAAAATAGTAAGAATCTTAAATAATAAAATTTTTATTTTTATAAACTCCTACCAACTTAAACACTAACAATCAAATAACTCATGCAATAACAACTAATTAATATAAAATAAATTGCATGAATAAATTATTAGAAATAAGCAACTCAAAACAATATAATAACTCTAGGCAATTACATTAATTTTAATTCCAAGAGTTACTAGAATAAATTAAAATAAAAACTAAATTGTTTTTTCAAAAACTATTTATAAAAAGTTTATTTTAAGATTGTTAGTATTTTTTCATAATATAATACAAGAAAAATATATAAAATAAATTAAATAGAAATGACAAAACAAATTTTTTTTTTATATATTAAGGGTTGGTTTGGAGTACACTATATAATCCATCTTTTTATCTTTTTTTCATCACATCACCTGTCTACTTTTCTGCACATCTTTTCGTAAAAAGACAAAAAGTGCATTTTTTTAGGACACCCAAACCAACCCTAAATGATGAAATATAGAATAAACAACACAACAAAAAATAGAAATAAATCAGATTGCATCACTAAAAGAATAAATTATTAACATGGATAACTAAAGATTAGATCTCGTTGAGATAAACTAAATTTTGAAAAATTAAAAAACAAATAACAAGAAAAGAAGCAAATCGAAACCTATGTGATACCACAGTTTCTTTAAAATAAATTCACTGCCTCTCGATGGGTGCTTGAAGTATGCCGGCATCTGTCTTCCATGATATGATGGTCGAAACAGCTAATGCAGAAGCATTTTCTGAATAGTTTCGGCGAACTTAACAATGTTTGTACTCTCTCTAACAAGAGCCAAACAAGATGCTAACAAAAGAAGATAGAATTTTTTTTTCTTTGGTGTAAAAATCATCTCTAATTTTTTATTTCAAAACACCACTTCATTTTCCATCACAAAACTTCTCTTAAAAATAGCCTACTAGTTGGAGGAGAAATGAGATGATTAACATTAATGGAGTCATCAAATGTCATCAACTCTAGCCATTAGGATTAGAGTTACAAAGGTTCAAAACTCCAAAACCATTATGTAAATCATAATGTGTATATAATGTATAAGTTTTGAGAGTTAAACTAGATAGGTTGTAAAATGGCTACGAGTGTTGGGTCATAACCCAATCCAACCCCAATTTCAAATACATGTACAAACTAAGCTCAGCACAGTTCAACCCAAAGTTTAAGACTAGATCCAAGTCCAAGTTTAAGACTAAACCCAGCACATGTACAAGTATAAGTCTAGGCCCAATCCAAACTAATAGAAAGTTTAAATCTAAACCCAACTTTATTGATACTCACTTTATGAAACAATTCTCGTTTACAACTCAATAGTTTCTACTCATTATTTCTGTATTAAAAGTTTCTCACTTAACATAATAAAAAATTACTCACACCTATCTCAACCCGCAGTTAAATCCTACTTTAATTTCAAATTAAAGTTATCAAAAACTAATTATTTTTCAACGGTTGGTAGTAGTGACAGATGAGATTTGGAATGGTTGTGTGGTGTTGTGCGTCTTAGTCAGCGAGGGCGAGAAATAGAGAGGTGTGGATGCTTGATGATTTTGTAAGGTCGTCATTTACTTGTGCACGTAGATTTCTTGCATTTTTATTTTCCCTTTGTTTATTTCTTAATGTGATTAGTGATCTCTTAAAAAAAATATATTTGTTTTTGTTGTAGAGCACCAGAATGTTTACTAGTTTCCATTCCATGCTCGCGTGATAAATAGAAAGTGGCATTTTTTGTGAGTAAATAGTTTTAGGAAAATCTTTGCAGTCTTAAGATTTGTGGAAACTATTTTGATGGAATTTCATACCGAAACTTATAATGAAGCTCCCAATGCGGAGATATGACACATTTACATTCATTTATTTCAAATAAAAAAACTCATCAAAAGAGTTTATTATTCCAAAAATGGTACAGTTACATCATTTTGGTTAAATTTTCACAAATTCTTTTTCAAATTGTTAACTTGCTTTTAAAACCTGTCTCCCACACCACATGTGCTTGGAAATTGGAATTTTGAATTGATTACAAACATTTCTTTTTGATTAATTAGAATTTTAAAAATAATCTATCATATAGTATAAGTATAATATGCGTCATGCTAATGACAATTCAAGTTCGATTATCATATATAATATGCATCATGTTAAATGTTAATGACAACTCAAGCTCGACTATCATTAATGACAATTCAAGCTAGATTATCATATATAATATAAGTCATGTTAAATGCTAATGGTAAACTCAAGTTCGATTACTTGTTAAAAAAAAAACTCAAGTTCGATTATCATTAATGCTAAATGCTAATGAGAACTCAAGCTCGACTATCATTAATGGCAATATACGGTTAAAAATTTTATTTCATAAATTATAAAATATTTTTACACATTTTTATACCATTTTTTTTATACATTTTAATTTTAATATTTGTTTTTACATATTTTTAAATATTATTTTAGCATCCATATTTTTATGATTGCATTCATATCCCCTTTCCTTTATGCGAAGATTGCAAATGAGAGGTGCACAAATTTGAACCTTTTTTTCAATAATAATGCTGCAGATTCAGATATAAAATTTAAAAATTATTTAGAATTTCACATAAATGACTTAAATTTATTTCATGTATAAACTTTACACTTCATGAATTTAATTTTTACCATTCAAATCCAATTTTGGATACATTTGTAGTCTCAAATTCTAAGACCTTAGCTTTTTTGTTTTTTCAAATGAAATCCATTTTTGTTTTGTTTTGTTTTGATCAAACACTCCATTTTCTTTGGACCCTCGTTTGGGAAGAAGGTAGATAATGAAAACCATAGTTAGAAGCTGACTAAACCCAAATCTCATGTTTTGGGAGGTGTTTGTTTGGATACAACTTGAACCCTCTAATCATTATTACCATTCACGAGCTCTGTTTCCCAAACCAGTTTTTGACTTCTCTCTCTCTCTCTCTCTCTCTCTATCTAATCAGTCTCTGATCTGTCAAAACTCCCAAATCGAGTCCTGTTTGTCTCTCTCTGATCTCCCTTGCTGAGATCGCGTTGTACTTTCCAATACGCAGAAAGTGGTCTATCTCTCCTCTCTCTCTAGATTCAATTCACCGGTACATATCTCTATCTTTGTCTCTCTTTCTAATTTGAATTGTGTTTGTTCCGGATGTTTAAGTTTCTCTGTCTCTCTGTCAAATTGAATTGTTGTGTTATGGAATGGAACTGGATTGTTCTCTGTTTCCTTTGATTTGTGGTGGTGGTAGTGGTGGTGGGTTAATCTCTTTGTTGGGTTTTCTGGGTATGTTTTGGATTATGCTAGTGTTAATCTATTAGGTTGATTTTAATTTTTTCTTTTATTTTTATTTATATTTCATCCATAAATTATCAATTTCATCTATTTTGGTTCCCAAAAATTATCTGATTTTAGAGACCATTATACAAATCAGTAACTGTTGAAGTCTAAATTTGATAGAAAAAGAAAAAAAAAAGAAAAGATTATTTCAGAATTTGAATAACTTAAGCCATACAACAAAGCACTCACTTTTCTTTCAATTTTGAGCAAACATCCCCACAACCAATTTAATGGGTGCTTTGGTTGTAGGATTTTAGTTGTCCAAATTATGAACTTACATTTTTGCCTATCAAATTAGGTTACAATTGTCTTTAATTGGGCTATATGAACAAAAGTATGAAACTTTAGGGATTGAATTGATTAAATTCATAGTTTAGGGGTGGAATAGAAAAAAAATGGTGATAGTCAAATGGATTTGTCCCACATCGGTCTGAGAGTCATCTACAGCCCACTTAATAAGTTGACTAACAACTCCTGACTAACTCTTCCTAACTAGCTTGAGGCCTTTTTTAAAGAAGAATAAAACCGTTAGGCTTCAGTCAAAGCGGACAATATTGTGCTAGTGGGGTTGGGTTGGCAGCTTCATTATTGTCCGCTTTGGCCGAAGTCTCACGGTTTTATTCTTTTTAAGAAAATGCCTCATTCTAGTTAGGAAGAGTTAGTCAACTTATTAAGTGGTTTGTGGGTGCTTCTCAGACCGATGTGGGACAAACCGATTTCGGGTTCCCACAAGGAGTTAAAAGTGAAATTAACCCATGTTTATTTTGGTGAATGAAGTAATTTTGCTGAAATAATATTTGTTGTGTAGTGATAGGATAGGACTGTGACTAGAAAGAGCTGCAGACATGATTCATGTGCAACAATATGATGTCTAATAAATGACAAAAGGTGACTTTTGTGGTTTTGGTTATGATCTATTCAAGTGTTGGTTATGACTCGGTTATAACTTATTGTGGTGTTAGATTATTTTGCTTATGGTGTTTGGTTAGATACCTTATATGGTGTTTAGTTATGACTATATATATATATATTTTTAATTATGACTATATATTTTTTTTTAGTTATGATTAAAATGGATCTATTTATGACATTTGTGGTAATCAACACCACAATTGTCATAACTTGGACATGGTATAGCATGACCCCTTTTATATATCCAATCAACCAATTTGTCCTAAAATTTAAAATTTTTCAACAACTATAAATTCATTTAAAAGTCAAGTTATAAATTTATAAACAAATTCACATCTAAATCTAAAATCTTTACTAAATGCACACCTTTTAAAATTTCCAATTATTGAAATTTGATCTCAAATATCTGTAATGCTATGTTTACTCTTCTTATTTTTTCTTATTTTTTTTAAAGATTCAGTGGAGAAAAAGAGAGACAAAGAAAAGAGTTGGATTACAAAACATGAGGACTAGGTGCTATCATAGTGAAACCCAATAATCTGCGATTAACAGACTTCTGATGGAGTCTGGAGAGTCATCTCCAATTCCAACTCCTTGCTTGGATATGGCATCTACTTGTTGCTTTCCCTAAAGATGTGGGAAATTGAACATTTGCTTCTCTGGAGTAGGAACCTAGCATATTTGATCAGTGCGGAGAGTTCAGATCCATCCCTGATGAGATTCACTGCCATCTCCTATTCTGCTTCAATCTCCACCTCACTGAAACCCTTTTGATGATGATGGTTAGTCCTCTGTAAAACAGCCCAGATCTCAGCTTCCAGGCTAGTGCAATTTTTCCAACTAACCATTATAGCCAAAGATCCAGCTTTCAGTCTCATCCCTGAATATGCAACCATAGCGTGCTTGATTTGCATCACCCCTAGAGCTTGCATCCATGTTGAGTTTGAGTTTGAGTTTACCTGCACATGGGAAACACTATTTAATGAAGTGGATGCCTTTATAGTGAGGTGGAAGAGGGGAGTGGAAAGCCTCCAGGATATCATTGTCAAAGATGATGATCAAACCAACACTTTTACAAGTGGGTTGGGATTGACTATCAAAAACCTTTTTGTTTGTCTTTCCAGATTTGCCAAATAGTAACAATGAAAATAATTGTCCAAGGTATGTTAGTATTACATTTCTCTTTCCTTTTCATATTAGTATTAACCCACTCATTGAGAAGCTTATCAATCCCATCTCTCTACCATTGATTGCTTCTAACAACCCAAGTATCTTGAGCTTTAAAACAGCCCCTGATGAGATGATCCACATCTTCCACATGGCTATTACATCTGGGGCACATGCCAGAATTAGCAATGTTTCTAACAATAACGAGTCTCATGTGATTGGTAGGAAGCCTCCCTTTTAACACAAGCCAAAGGAATCCCTTTAGCTTTTGGGGGACTTTAACTTTCCAAACCCAGGACCAATCAGGCTCATTGGTCTCCTGGTCAGCAACAAGATTATAAGCAGATGCAGTAGAATAGTTACAATTAGGGGCCTTTCCATAGAGGGGTATCCAGTAATGATGTATGTACATGTGTTGCATTTTATACTCCTGAATTTGACTTATACTCAAACTATAAAAGCACATTTATTTTCACTAATGATTGCTATTTAATGGAACTTGGGTTTTATGTATATGAGTTACTTAAAAGCAATGTGATAAGCATACTTGTGGAAAACTTTCAATTTAGGAAGCATGACACGGACATGTGACACGACACGGACACGCCGACGCGTTAATTTTCAAAAAATGCAAGACACGACACGTGAGGGACACGCATGAAATATATAGTTTTATATATTTATTATATGTTATGTATATAAATATATCATTCCTATATTTATGTATCATTTATCAAAAAAAAAATACATATATAAATATATCATTCAAAGATAATAAAAAATGCAATATGACACTAATTCTTATAAATTTATATGAGTTTTTGTTTTATTATTGTATCTTAAGTTGTTTTGTTCAAACTTATAATTAGTTTCACATGTGTCTAACCGATAGACACGTATCTTTAAGCGATTGACACGTGTGTCCTCTAAGTATCCAAAGAGTGTTCAAGTTTTTAAAAAAAATTAAAAAATAGGACACGTTTTGAAGAGTGTCGGATACGTGTCGTAAGAGTGTTGGTGTCCAACACGGACATGGACACGACACGGGGGGTCATGTGCCCCCCCCCCCCCGGGTTTTGGATTTTTTTTAATTTTATTTTTTATATAAATAAAATATTTTAAATAAAAAAATTTATAAAAATATTATTTAGAGTGAAATGTCAATGACATTTTTAAAATTATGAGAAGAAAATGGTTGTTTTGATTGAAAATAAAGAGATTAGTTATGAAAATTTCAATATAATAGTGATGTCTATTTTTATTGACCTGCAAACATAATTAATCTCAATAAAGATATGAAATTTATTAGATTGTTAATTACATTTGACATGTGGGGTTCATTCTCCATGTGTTTCTTTACTATTGGTTGGTGATATCACATGTCAATGATGACGTGGTATTACTATTATATTGAATTTTTACTCAGATTTTATATAAAAAAATTACTTTATCATTATATAATTTATTTTAAAATTTATATCCATGACTTTTTTATGTTGTCCATAATACACTAGTTACAAATAATATTATTATTATAATTATTATTTTTTTATCTTTCTTAAAATCAATCGTAAAAATTTATGTGAAGTATTTTTGTAAACATTTTCAATATTGTAATGAATAAGTGCCCTCGCCGATTTAATTTCTTGGCTCCGCCACTGCCAAAGAGTGTCTGGGTCTTTAAAAAAATTTAAAATGTAGGACATGTTTTGAAGAGTGTCCGACGCACATGTCCTAAGAGTGTCCAAAGAGTGTCGGTGTCTGACACGGACACGATACGGATACGTCACCTTCTTAGAAGTGTCCGTGCTTTTTAGCTTTCAATCATGAGATTGCAAGATCTTTGAACATCATATGGGAACTTTTCAGTCATTATATGTTTGTTTATTGTGTAAATTCCTTTCAATTGTAACGTGTAACAATGCTATGTTCTAGATTTATGTGGAATGGAGATATCCACCTAGATCTCTTGCGATTTTTTTTGGTTATGGATGAGAGCTTCACTTGGTTACACTCTTCCATCTATTTTGTCTCAGATGCTTCTTTTGCCATATCAAAATTGTAGTTTAAACTTCTGAGGAAAGTATAAAATGTTTTCATAACATTGGTTTTGTTGTTAAATATGTTGACAATGGCATATGGTTTATCATTTACTTATTTTATTTATTTTTCTTTAGTTCTTGTCATGCGAGGAAAGGTGGCTCCAGGGAGATCAATAATTCTATGACTCTTTTTTGGTTATTTGCATTATTATACGTTGAAGATGTGATTTTAAACCACTCTTGTATTATATTTTCTCCAACTGGCTTTGAGAAGGGCTGCAAAGCAGGTATCAAAACTTGTTGATACCAAGTAAGAATTGAAGGACACGGGAGCAATTGCTGGGAATTCAAGCAAATCTAAAACTACTCCAGGAAAGGAAACTCCCTTTGATAGAGGTTCATGCTTACAATATTACTCAGGCCTATGTTCGTGGCATAAAAAGAGAAAGAGAAAGAAGCAGAAGAGGAGGCACAATGCCCTACAAAACTTTGTTGTAGATTTTCATCTTCCAAGTAAGAAGTAAAGGACATGGGAGCAGTTGATGGGAATGCAGGCAATCTAGAAAGGAAACTCCCTTAGATAGACGTTCGTACTTATACTATTATTCAGACCTATGTTCGTGGCAGAAAAAAGAGAAAGAGAAAGAGAAAGAAGAAGAAGAGGAGGCACAATGTCCTACAAAACTTTGTTATAGATCTTCATCTTCCAAAGTTTACTTAAATGGAGAACACACATGCAGAAAAAGATTCTGATGTATGGCCTAAAATAGATGTTAGCTTAAAGATGGGTTTGGAAATGGCCCAATGTAATGCGGGTTGGAACTCATGGCCGGAAAAGAAAAAGACAAAACATGTTCGTCTTCCAGAGGTTATTTCAATGGAGAACACGCAGGCAGAAAAAGATTCTAATATATGGCCTAAAGAAGATGTTAGCTTAAAGAGTGGTTTGGAAATGACCCAATGTAATGCGGACTGGAGTTCATGGCCTGAGAAGAGAAGGACAAAAAATCTTCTTCTTCCGGAGGTTACTTCAATGGAGAACACACATGCAGAAAAAGATTCTAATAGATGGCATAAAGTTGATGCTAGCGTAAAGATGGAATTGGAAATGACCCAATGTAATGCGGGCTGGAGTTCATGGCCGGAAAAGAAAAAGACAAAAGATCAGAAGATAAGGTATAATTCCCTTGAAACAAATGATATAGATGACAATCGTCCCGAGGGTACTTTTTCAATTCATATTACTCCTGCACAAGTAGATTCTTTTCTGCATTCTCCAATCAATACATGCTTAAGTACAGATCTGGAAATGACACAACATGATGCAGAAGTGATTTTATCTCAGGATATGGACAAAGGGATGGAGCAAAATAAGAGGCATAATGCGTCGAAAAGTAATGAAATTAATCAAGACCACAAGGAGGGTGGTAATCAGCCTAGTCACTCTCTAACCAATACGGAGTTTGTTGAAAGAGGGGACGACAACTATGTTTCTGGAAATGCAGATCAACTTGATAGTTTTCCAAAGTGTGTGGATGATAGTTCAATAAAGAAACATGATGACCATGCTCGCATTCATGTTGTTCCTCTTGATGTGAACAGTATTCAAACTTATCAGATACAGAAACAAAATATCCGTAGGAGGAAAAGGAGAAAGTTCTCTGATACCATGGAAGGCAGTTTAGGATTTATCGAGGACGGTGATGACTCCTCTGTACTGCTTGTACAGGACAGTTCAGTGAGAGATTCTTCTTTGAGCCCATCTGATGAAGCTCCTGCATCTGGCTATCCAGAGAAAATGTTGGGAGATGTAAAAGATGCAATATCTTCATCGTCTCAGTTGGGTGAATTCACCGATGAAGTTAGCCTAACTGTTATCAGCAAGGATGGGCCTCAACAGATGCTGCGGTCTTCACTAGGAAATGCCACTGGCAATTTCAGAAAAAAGCTTCTTGTCCTTGATGTGAATGGACTACTTGCTGATATTGTTTCGTATGTGCCTTTTGGATATAAACCAGATGCATTTATTTCCAAGAAAGCAGGTACTCTTAAGACAAGTAATTTTGTTAAAAGTTTGTTAGTGGTTCTCTAACAGCTTGGATCTGACTAGATTGTCACTTCTGTACCAGTTTTTAAGAGGCCATTTTGTGACGACTTTCTGCAGTTTTGCTTTGAGAGATTCAATGTGGGTGTCTGGTCATCTAGAACTAAGTACTCTTCTACCTTTGGCTGATGAAATTTACTATTTCCTTGTTTTCTTATTTCAAATTGCTATCTACAATCTGTTATTATTATTTTTTTGGGCACTTGTTCATTTGTTATTTATTTTAATTTAATTGGTATATGCTTTAACAATGTAGTTATCAATTTTTTGCAGGAGAAATGTGGAATCTGTTCTTGATTTTCTTATGGGAAAATCCAAATGCAATTTGCTTTTTTGTTGGGTAAACCATGCAAATCTCTGCTACAAATACAATTACTGCTTTCAACTTCTATTGGATTTTTAGTTACTTTAACTGTGCATAACAGTTTGTTTAATAGCGCAAACATTGGCTTGTGTGCAGGATCAGTTCCACTGTACAGATACGGGTTACAATACGGTTGAGAACAGAGAGAAGCCCATGCTTCTAAAGGAACTTAAAAAATTATGGGAAAAGGATGAACCAGATCTTCCATGGGATAGGGGAGTGTATAACGAATCAAACACACTGTTGTTGGATGATTCTCCATACAAGGCCTTGCGCAATCCTGTAAGTTCATCATTTTTCCTTCCGCTTTATTTTCTTTCTGTATTGGGCTTTCTTGTTTGACATCTTGTGTTGACATTTTCAACATTTCCCTTATTCTCACAGTATGTATTCTCTCCATCTTTTCTTTTTCCAATATTTAGATGCACACTGCAATCTTCCCCCATCCATATCGGTACAAGGATGTCAGAGATAATTCTCTTGGTAAGTTGCACACAATTAAATCGCTAGTACAAACTATATTCTTGAAGAGTTGTGGGGTTTGTGTAGATATAAATTCAATTTTGTGGATGTTTCTAGCTTGCATTGTGTCCATAAATATGATATATATTTAGCAGAAAGGTTTTACTCTTTTTGGCCATGTATCCTGGTTCTTCAAAATTTCAAATCTCACAGATTTTATCAAAGCATGATAGTTGCAAAAATTTGGAATGAGTCTCAACCCTTTTTATTTGGCCTTCTCTCTCTCTCTCTCTCTCTCTCTCTCTCTCTCTCTATATATGTATATATATATATTTTGTATACATTATTGAAAATTTTTGGATTATTTATTGCATTACCCTGAATACCGAGTTTTTTATTTCATCCCTGCATGTGAAAACTTGGGGCTGACAATTCCTCGTTCAATTTCCATCTTATTAGCTTCTATAATTTGTGGCCTTTATAGATTGATGTTTGAGTTAAATTTGCACCATCTTTATTGCATGATGGCCAATGAATTTTCTCGTTCTTTAATTGACACAGGGCGTAGCGGTGACCTTCGGGGTTATCTAGAAGGATTAGCGTCTGCTGACAATGTTCAAAAATATGTACAACAAAACCCATTTGGTCAACGGCCTATAACGGAAAAAAACTTATCTTGGGCTTTCTATCTTAAGGTTATCGGCTCCACCTCCACCTCCACCTCAACCTCAACCCGACAGGAAGAAGATGCTAATAATTCTTCGGCTCGTCAACAAAGATTTGAGCGGAATGACGACAGAAATAACTTTCAGACCTATTTTTGCAGAAACTGATATTGCCTTGGCAAATTTGAAGTTGATGATGGTGGATCAATGTGGTGAGGGTGCTGGAGGGTAACCTTGGAATTCAACTGCAGCTGCTACTCTATTTATCTGATGTTGTCGTGGGTCTGCAACCTCTGGTGGTGTATAATGCTTTTACCCTGAGACAAATCGGTCCTATATATGTACCAATCTTGATAAATTTAAAATGATAACTGAATAGTTGAGGATGGTTCATTTTTGTTAGTATCTAGGGTTAGTATTCTTTTTGTATTGTTCCCTGTATGTACTTTGATCTTTTTGGGACAATATTTTCACAGATAAATGCAGGCCCTTTTTTTATTTATTTTTTATTTCTTCATTTTAATGCAAGCAAAAACTCGACTCTGCAGTGAGATTGCCTTCTTGAATGAACCAGCTGTCACTCGCAACAAGGTTTGGAAAAGTATAGGTAGGTACTAGGTAGCTTTTGTTTTGTTTCCAAAGAGGGAAAATTATTGTCTGCTTCTTGGACAAGTTGATGTAGTGTTCTAACTTGGTTGTTATTAATTGAATTAGTGTGACCTACCACTTTTTAGTCTCCTTTTAGGGGACAATGTTCCAAAATTAACTGATAATTTCTCTCCAAAGAGTGCCTATAATATTTGTTATCGCTCAAATTTATGACAGGGTTCGTGAAACGACATTTATCATCACTTAAAGTCACAACAATATGTGCCGCTTTGGAAACAATGGTAAAAAGCAGCGTTTTGAGCCTAGGGAAAAAATGCACAAGTTTGAAAAAACACAAATAACACTATTTGGGAAGATCTAAAAACACAACTCGTCAATTTACCAAACTACCCCCGACTTATGTAATTGGGGCCTAGGGCAAAACGAGTTCAGATTTGCCTCCTCCCCCCTTTGGTAGCGATTTCGTCCTCCTCCTTGAAGTTGCACTTCCAACTCCCTCGAACAACCCACGACCTTGCCGTCCCTCGCCAAAGCTGCCGCTGAAATTGTCGTCCACGTCCTCGCCGTTGCCGGATCTGCACCATCAGGTAAGTCGAAAACCACCTTCCATTGTTGTTTTCTCGCAAGTAGTGACAGACCCAAAACCATGACAGCAGTTGTTCACGATTGATGAACCAACTGCTGTATGATATATAACATTGAAACCTTGCTCCATATTCATTTCCAATTGTGATTTCGAGGTCTGTGATGTTTGTATTTCCGATTTTCGGGGTTGATGTTCTGTGTACTCATCCCTTTTAATCTACTGGCCTTCTTTCAAAAATTTTAGTCTAACAATTTGTGATACCAAGTTGTTATGTGCGTGCATCGTTTGAAGTTTTTGTTTTGTGTAATCTGTTGAAACAAAATTCTTCTTCTTCTTTTCCATTCTTGGCACGATTGAGAAGTTTTGTTTTTCTTCTGTTTTTTTTTTTTTACCTTAAGATGTTCATCAAGAAAAAGAAAATGTTATGTTCAACAGATATTTGAACCAATCAAATGAACTTTATGGCCTGTAAATGACCTTACACCTGGGCTAAACCAGAGCATTTAAGCAAAACCTGAACAAATGCATTTAACAAATACTTGAAGAATTTGTTAATAATCCATTCAAGCTAAACAATTTGAGGCAACTTGAGCATTTCTCAAACTACCGAACACTGTGCGAGTAAAACTACCACTCACATTGCACCAAGGGTTGAGGCTTTGCTCTGTTATTTTCTCTTTCAAATTGACAAAAATGCAAAATAATATGTATGAACATATTTTTTTATTAATGTTTAGAACAGAAAATCAGAACATGAATTAAAAAAAGCCTTCAATGTTAGAATAGACATTTATAAAACTCCAGCCAAAACTGTTTATTAGTGCTGAAGCTATACATATAGATTCATCAAATAATTGTGATATGTAGCATTATTGGAGCTATAGATTCAAAGAATTAGTATTGTGGATTTGGAAATGGCTCCAAAGAATTAGTATTGTGGATTGTGTATTGTATTATTGAGATGGAGAGGAAAAGAATTAGTACACCATTGGGATGTTGTTTGAGACCATTGTTGTGAAGGGTGGTTATAAAATTGTAGTATAATTGGGGACAAACTACAGATGTGGAGTTGGAAGACCAGTGGGGGCTTTCAACTTCCATCATTTAGAATAGGGAAATAAAATATTGGTCATTTTCATGTTATTTTGCTATTTTATTTTACTTCCCAGACTACATAAATTCGTATAACAATTATCTTGTGTATTTCTGAAGTAGTTTAACAAAACATGACAGCACAAGACAACCACAGTACGAAAAACTTGAGAAAAGAAAATGCCTAATCAGGACACACCAGTAAACTAGCATTTTCAATAGTTAACCTAAATTCAAAATGAAATTCTTTCAGTTATTCTCTTTCATTCCGCACACTACATCATATTAGTTCAATTTATAACATGAACAAAAAAATCAAAGGAGTATATAGATAGCGTCCTCCACGTCAACTGCCACTTCATCATGGCCACCGAGGATGTGTGCATGTGGCTTTGGACATTGCGTTGTCAAGATATCATGATCCGCCAAAAACCCTGGTCGTGCGTACTACGTTTGTCGTAGAACTACAGTGCGTTTGTGTTGCCCCTTTCTTATGCACTTAGTCATGTCGTCGTTCATTTGTGGTTGTGTTACATAGTATGCATGCTAACTATTTACTGCACTTTTGTTTGGCAGATATGTGTTGCGTGGGTTGGTTGGTGTGACGAGTTTCACAACACCAGATTTGGTACTTACCAGCCATATAATGATGTCGATATGGGGTTACGGGAAGACGTTGTGCACATAGATCAGAGCCTACGTACGCTTAGGACGGTCGTCAGTGTTTTGTGCGTTGTTGTTTTGGTGTTGTTGTTTCGGATGTGATGCATTGTCATGGATATTGCTGCGTAGTTACTTTTTGTATCACATATGTACTTGTTGTCAGTTACGTGTTCGTCCTGTTACAAAACATTTCCCCAATGTGTAATACAAACCGACTTTGTCTTTTACAAAGCGTTGTACTATTTGTTGTTATTATTGCAGTAATTGTGTTTACACTTCGATTTCACTTTTGGGCATGCAAAAAATATCTACTATACTTTCTTTGACACTGATATTTCATTAATTTTACAAGCAGGATAGCACTGCTTATGGCAACAAATCGATCATCACCCCGTACCCCTTCCAAGTCTCGAGGTAACACTGTCATATCAACCCAACCCCAGTCAGTCCACGTATGCCAATTCGACAGTGACAATACAAAGCTATTTCTTTAACTCGTCATTGCTGAAATGGAAGTTGGTAATCGACAACCATGCGGATTGTCCATGGCCGGGTATAAGAACGTTGCGAACAAATTTCTAGAGAAAACCGGCCTGCTACATTGGGCCAAACAAATGAAAAACAAGTTTGACAACTTGAAGAAAGATTGGGTAGCATGGAAGAAGTTAGAGAATGCCAGCCACGACTTGACAGGGCTTGGGTATGACCATGAGACGGGCTTGTTCACTGCACCTGACCATTGGTGGGCCAAAATGCAAGCGGTATGTATTGACAAAACAATTTATTTTTCCCATTACTGTTGTACCGATATTGCTGATTTGTGGTGCCATATTTTGTTCACATAACTACTTTTGCAAATCAAAGCACTTCTTTAACATATTACTTTTACATGTGTTGGGCAACCCACAACGTGCCATGTGTACACTTAATTCTATACTTACATTTATTGTTTTCTAATTACAACAACTAATTCCTTCATATAATTAGCCTCTGTTACTATCATTGGTGGTACACTTTAAGGGCAGCAAATACATTTCAAGCTTTACTTACATAAGTGTTTTCTTCTGTCGTAGATGAACAACCGATGTGCTAAGTTCAAGAGTAAGCCTCTAAAGCACTTGGACCTCATGGAGCGGGTGTACTCTGGCGCAACAGCGACTAGGAAACATGCATGGACTCCAACAGAAGTGCGCGATGATGCTACTGCTGCGACCAATGCCAATGAGGATAGTGGGATGGGACCTCTCAGTGTAGGCACACCACCACAGCGGGGCCATGACATTTTCGGGGAGAACGTGGTAGATAGTAACCTATTTGACAATGCTCTCCTCCAGTCAGTTGTGGATGGATCAGCCAATGCAAAACATCGCAAGCGGCCAGCACCTGGTACTGTCACTAGTAACATGGACAATCTCGTAGAAGCAGTGAGCAAACAAAGCTGGGAGCTGAAAATTGCGCAATATGTTGTCACTGGTAAAGGTGACAACACTGTGGGGAACTGTCTTGCAAGGCTTATGAGCACACTTGGATTAGAGCCCGGCGGTAAGTTATTCTCATTCACATACGGCATAATGGATTCACTCGATAATCGGGACATCATCATGGCCCTCTCCATGAATTACATTGTCAACTAGTTGATAGAGAAGCGTGCCTGCACGTCGGCCAATGTTGGTAGGGATCGTGAACGGGGGACACAGCTGTTCGGGAGTGGTGGTGCTGTTGATTGGACTAAGCCTCTATAGTTGGATTGCCATTTTAGTATTTGCTTATCATGAGACTGTAGTTTATTTTTAGTTGGTGTTTTTGTCGACTCTTTTGTATAACAATCTGTGTGTTTTTTTTTTTGCTGTGGTGCACATGCGAGACTGTTTGCATTCTTTTTATTTTGGTCTGGACGTTTATTTATGATTATGCAAGACTTGGGTACTATCTGCGAGTGTACACGCCACAAGATGACACTGTTGTGTCACATAGTTATTATGTTATGGAAAATGTCATGGCTAGGGAATCTATGCTTTTGTTTGCAGACTCTTTTTTGTTTGTTGTATAATTATTTATTTTAGGTGCTCCTTGTCACAGGCAGATAGTGATTTGTGGGCCAGATGATGATTTGTTGTGAAAAACAAAGTAGTCTACGTTTCAAATAGTTGGATTGAATTTTTTAAATCTATTTTATAATTGACAAAACGAAAATTATATTGACAAAAGCAAACACTAATTTGTAAAAAAATGAAAAAACAGATAATTTAGTCCCTAGGAAGGGGAAAAAAACACAGAAAATGATGGGCTTTTTTTACCATATTAAAATTAATTTTTGTGAAGAAAACAAAAAATGGATAATATCTTGTGAAATCTGAACCAAACATTCAAAATTTGATATAACTTCAACCATAACTGTACATGCCTAAAAATTGACATAACTAGAAATATCAACTATGTGACGAAATTTGTCCACCCATTAAATTTTGTGAAACTAATCTATATCGTAGAAAATTATTCATAACAAAGTTTGACCTGAATACTAAAAATATTTTTGCCACACATATATTAGTGGTTATTACTTTCAAAAGTGTGTTCCATTAATTTATTTATTTAGATTTCTTTATGTACTTTATTTTAACTAAAAACTTATGATGTAATATTAGAGTTATTTGATGTGGCTCACGTCAATCACAAGCACATGAAACTTGGTTGCTTATATGGAAGCATGCAAAGTAGAGATTGTACAAACCTGGGAAATGTAATTCACATGGTGGTGTCATGTTGTTCAGCTTTGGGTAATCACATGGCCACAGTAACTCAACGTAGTAGTTGAAGATGTCTAATAAGAGTGCTATATATCATGGAGTTGATCAACCCATGTTACGAATGCGAACTACAACTTGTAGTTTTTCTTTCATATAATTTGGAACGTCTATGGATCCGCAAGAGAGTACTAGCTCAAGACTCGTACGCAATGGCCAATTAAATGCTTGGATACAAGAGACGATTGGAGAAATGAAATTGACGACATCAATGATTTGAGTGGAAATTGCTCGCGTTGCCAACGAGTACGCGTATGTGGACAAGACTCCGTTTCACACATCCGCATTGATTGGTAGCATGTGGATGCAGGAGATGCTTCGAGGTCGGAATGAAGCATTTCAGCGAAATTTTCGGATGCCACAGGATGTGTTCTTGATGTTGTGCAAGACATTAGTTGAGGATTGCGGCCTCACAGTACCACAGTGTCCCCATGGTGTAGACGTAGTTGAGAGTGTCGGCATGTTCATATTCGTGTTATGGGGCTTCCCAAGTTGGGACATAGAATACCGTTTTCAACACTCGGGGGAAACAGTATGGCATCATGTAATGCGAGTTCTTAAAGCGATGAAGTTGTTCACGATTGCACACTGCCGACCGACAAGGTCACAACACAGTAGACATCCGTACTTAGAGTCCCAACGAAAATATTTCCCATTCAAAGTGAGTGTATTAATTTTTCGCACATTTAATTATGAATAGTAGCCACATTCAGAAAGTAAGGGCGGACTTTTTTCGGGTTAAAGCATTTCTCTTTTACAGTTATTGTATTGCTTTGTGTGCTTCTGCAGGACTGTATTAGGGCGCTTGACGGCACACATGTGGAGGCGCATCTCCTGCCGCAGGAGGCAGCGCCATATTTTAGCCGTAAAGGACGGCACACGCAAAACATACTCGCAGCGTGTGATTTCGATTTGTATTTTACTTTTATATCTTGCGAATGAGAGGGTGATATGCATGACAGCAGAGTTTTTAACGAAGTAACATAGGACCCAGACAAACAATTCCCTATGCCAGAGGAAGGTTAGATGAATAAGGGCTGTTTTTTTTTTTTTTTTTTTTGCATTACTTGTGTGCATTTGATATTTGTAATGACAATACTTACTAATGCAAAATTATCAAAATATAAGCAGGAAAGTATTACCTTTTTGATGCAGGGTACAAGAACCAAAAAGGTTTTTTGGCGCCGTTTAAGGGATGCCGCTACCACCAGGAAGAGTTTCGCGCAATTGGACGGCCAACAAATGTAAACGAAATTTTCAACACGGTGCACTCCTCCTTACGGAATGCAATTGAATGTATGTTCGGAGTATGGAAAGCGCGATGGGGATTCCTACATAACATGCCGTGATATGATTTCGGGAAAGTGCAGGTGCCATTGGCCGGGGATTCAATGGCACTACATAATTTTATACGCTGCAACTCGAACGACGATGAAGCATTCAACAAGGCTGTGAATGCATAGAATTTTACTTTCAACGACATGCCAAATGTTGACGGTGTTGGTGACGACAATGATGGTGAACCAGAGGACGACGATGACGTACATATGAACGAAGTAAGGAAATCAATACAGAATGAATTAGTGCGACATCGGCGTGAACTTGGGTTCTAATCCTATTTGGTATGTACGAGTTGATGGCAAATGAAATGAATGTGTGAAACTGTTGAAAGTGTCAAAAAAATGTACGGTTGTGTTTGTAAGTTGCAAGTTGTGAAGGGCGTTTATTAGTTTGTAATGTGGAAATGAATTAATGTAAGAGCGCAATTTGTTGGCAAAAATTAAGAAAATAAATATGCCATTCAATTATAATAATAAAAATAATTAACAAAATTATAATAATAATAGAAAAAAATTTGCACTGCGTGACATTGATAAACAAAAAAAAAATTGTAATACTACTGTGCAGGGAGCAAATATCCAGAGAGCCCGCACTCCTTGTTTCCGAGCTCCGATTCTATCCGATCACCTGCGTGCACAACAACAATGAGCTACTCAGCGATGTGTGGCCGGAAAACCCGTCCGACGATCAAGTTAGAACACACACACAGGGGATAGATAGAGAGAAGGGAGAGTGTTGAGTGTTTAGTGTATGTCTCACCAAATGTTCATCTGTTTCAGCATGGGGGGCGCAAACTTACTTATATACCTTCTACGCGCCAAATCCACTCCCATTCGTCTCTCGACACGTGGTGCTACTATTCCATTTGTCAGCAAAAATCTTGCTGAACATCACCTAACCCGACTGCCAGCCCACTCTTCTGGGAGCTTGGCAGCAGGGCTGTAACTTCTCGGCTGTAGATGGCTGTGTTGTATAGCTGGCCAGAGCGCTCCGTTCGCCGCGCACCACTTCGACCAAGCTCGGGCATATCCCGGCATTGCCGAGCTTGGGACAGCTACGCTTGTTTGCCGTGGGCCTTACTGCCGAGCAAACACATGTAGCTTGGTCCAACCTTATCTTTCTGGGCGCCAGACAACCCATTTGACAGGCTTCGATACCAAGAAGCTATGTAGCTCGGTCAAACCACACCTTGCATTAACCGAGCAGGATCTTTCAAGACATGGCCGTACTACCTCGACCCAACCCTTGTTCGGCCCAAACCCGTCCGGCCCAATTCCAGATCATAAATCTCCCTCTCAATTGCCCCTTAATTCCGTTCGCGCAAGCGTGACTGGGATTACCCGTTCTGACCGGAGTTACTTTTCCCCGCTCCTCGGTTCAACAGTCGATGACCGGGCTAGCTGACATGCCTGTCATCAACATACTATCTTTTGACTTGCTCGGTCGTCGCCTCATCTGACCTTCCTGTCTGTTCAACTCAGACGTTGCCATTAATGTGGACACGTGCCAACCTCCAATTGGTCCTCGAGCAGCCAACCCAGTCACCTGTTGGCATTCAAATTTTTGGCGGTTTTTTGTTCCTTATCTGCATGCCCAGCTTCCTTCATTTCATTCCTCTTGCTTCTCATTTCTCTTCGACGACCCAGAGCTTGTGTCATTCCTCCCTCGCCATTCCTCAGCTTGTGTTCAAAGAAACAGTCACTACCCTTCAAAGGTATGTCCCCCAACTCCTCTTTTGCTGTTATTTCACTTAGAATTTCACACATTAGGGTACTAAACACGCAGTTTTTAGGACATAGGTACCCAAAATCGTCCCAAACCCTTAACTGTTCAAGGTGTTTTTCACTTTCTCTGATGAACATTGAAGATCTGGGGTGGACCGGGCTCCAGGTCTTCTTTTGATCCGAAAAATCACTCCGACCGAACAAATAGCTTGTTTGCCTCAACCTTCGTAGAAACCGGGGTAGCAGAAGGACTTGGCCGGTCGACCGGGCCATTCTCTGGTTCGCTTGAGCGACCGAGCTCCTTAGCTAGCCTTTACGACCGAGGTGGTTTGGCACAATCCATGACCGAGCTCTAGTCCAGCTCGTTTTGCGCGACCGCGCTCCCAGTTACAATTACCCTCCGTTTTCCTGCAGAGTCCAAGGGGACCAAAGACTAATCCTGAGGCTCTCAAGGACCGAGCAGCCATTAATTCTCAGCCTGTGCCAAACCACCTCAGCCGAGCTAGATTAGTCAGTCAAACATGGGAAAATTCCGCTTCCTTGTGGACACCCCTGCTGCCATGGCTACCTTCAGGGAAGAATACAGCATCCCGGCAGACGTCCACATAGAGCTCGCCGAGATGGAAACAACCCCTTGGGGCAAGCTTGACCAATGCCCCTTCACCGTGCTGTCAGTAATTGAAAGAGGCCTCCGCTTCCCGGTCAACCCTCTGATGACTGAATTTCTGCGCCGCACCGGGCTAGCACCCATCCAGGTTTCGACCAACACCTACCGAATAATCAATGGCGTGCACGAGTTAAACAACCGGCTAGGAACAAACTTAGGTTTAGCCGAGATACTTAGACAATACACACTTGGGCACACCGGCGATGGCCTGGCCTACTATTTAAAAATTAGACCGGGCAAAGAGAAAATAGTGACCGGCACCCCAGACAAAGATTTACATGATGATGACTTCTTCTGGGTGTCTGGCAACTATGAAACAGCCGACGTACCGGGCTGGTTCATCAGCAAGAGCTTTGGTTCCACATGTAAGCTGCGCTAATTTGCTCGGTTAAGTCCCTGCCTTCAACATTCTGTACTTACTATTTTTC